ATGCCTGTCTTTACGCTGGAAACTCCTGGACATAAGGGGTCAGGTGGGACACCGGGATGCGGGACATGAAGGTCACAGAAACCAAGGGAATTGCAGAAAACCGCATCCAGCGGCCGAATTAGCCCATCTGGGAACCTACAAAGTCACGTGCCAACTAGTCACTATTTGAGAGGATGGAACGGATCTTCTATTACTTCTGATGTGCAATCTGCACCATGAACGCTTCAAAATACTTTCATAAAAATTGTGGAAGGCGTATCTGATATGCAGAAACCAAATTATCCCAAGACTAAGTCAATGAGTCAAAAACACCAACAGCGAATTCTTGACCCTAAACGGTTTGCAAGGCTCAGTACCCAGTTTGATGGGGATTCCAGGGAAGGACAGACACAGCTGATGGTACAGAGGCATAGCTGATGCTCTGAATTCATTTAACAGCAAACGAGTAGAATCTACAAAACACAGTATGCACGAGCAGCCCAGTAAGGATCAATCTTGGAGCACATTTGAGCCTCGTCTACTATCGTTTACTCCAGTGTAAAAAAGAAAACAACGAGATCTCTGTTGCTTGGAGTTTGAGCTCAGAAATCTTCTTCCAGGACGCGGGTCTTCAAGCGCTGTGTTCTCAAAGAGATACAAGACATAAATTCCTCCCCGTTCTTAAAATGATGGAAATAAGTGAAAAATGGGTAGAAGTGAGCACGTAACTCTGGAAACGGCATGGGTTGGGGTGCAGAGGTAAGCGGGCACAGAGCATATTTTGAAGAGAAGGCGAAGGCCAGCTTTTCTGAATGGATAAACACGTTTGAGTGAGTGCATTATTTTAACCACAGATTGTTTTTCAAATGGAGCCCTTCACTCCTTTCTCACATGTGTATTGAGATGCCAAATGCCTCACTTTGTTTCTCCCTTGGATGTCAAATGCATACAGCCAGAAAGGAAATATTCTAGTAAGCGAGGAAATCTTCACACCCCGCCCCCAAAAAAGCCCCATTCATTGCTAATTGCAAATTTCAGCAATACAAAAATTGTTCAGCGTCTACCTACTGCAGCGGTTCTCAACCTTCCTAATGGCGTGACCCCTGAATACAGTTCCTCAGGTTGTGGTGACCCCCAACCATAAAATTATTTTCGTTGCTGCTCTATAACTGTCATTTTGCTCCTGTTATGAATCGTAATGTAAATATCTTTTTGTTCTCCGATGGTCTTAGGCGACCCCTGTGAAAGGGTCATTCAACCCCCAAAGGGGTCGCAACCCACAGGTTGAGAACCGTTGACCTACTGTAAACAACACACCGTGGTAAACGCTAAGACATAAGACATGGTCTTTGTTCTTAAGTGACTTCTCTCCCTATAAAAATCCACGTGCACGTGTTTGATGACCTTTTGAAGCAGGTTATGACAACAGCAGTAAGACAGGAAATTCAGAGAGGGGGTTACCACTTCCTGTTGGGGGGATTATCATAAACTGTAATGGAGTAAGTCATTAGTCCGCCAGTGCTGCATGAAACAATGACATAGACTAGCGGGGGCGGGCTTAATCAAGAGACAATTATTTTCTCCCAGTTCGGGAGGTTGGGAAATCCAAGATCAAGGTGCCAACAAGGTCGGCTTCACCTG